TTCTTTTTTTTTTTTTTAAAGGGTTTTTTTGAGGGAGGGGAAGGACGGTAAAACGTGCGGACGCCCCGTGCAGAGTGTGTTTCCTGTCACTGTAAAACACACACATTCAGTGGAATGTCTAATGTTGTTGCTGTTTCGCTCAGCTTCTAATATTGGTCGTTCTGTTTTTGATGGCAGCCAGCATGCGACACGCAGTTTTGCACATGTATGAAAATAAGTGCGTGAGGGGGAGACATCCTTGTGTATTTATATACGTTTATACATACATTGTACATCAGTGTCGCCGCGACTGAACGAGAAGACAACCACGAGCGTGAAATCGATATAGCTTGAATTAGCATTATTGCATGAAATAGATCAATTAGTTAATATGCGAGACCGGAATAAATTAATTTTACGTGACTTTGGGATAAAATTAAGAAATCATAGGCGTAAAGAAATTGTCTTTAAACCGCAAGTCGTAAAGTAATCTTAATTATTCCAGTCGTGAAGTATATTATTCTCAAGATATTTTAATGTAAAATATAAATCAGCGTTATTCCTACATTAAATTTTACATTATTTTTCTTTCCAACCGGTTCTCTCTAAAATTTCAAAGATAGACAAGTCGTTTTTCAAAATACTTCCAATCAAATATTGTCTCCTCACTCGTGCAAGCGCACCGAGCATACGTGAACACATCGTGTCTCATTTGGTACTTGGTGCTCTTTCAAGACCTGGTGCAGTGCGTGTGCAAGTGATCTGAACATTTCGTGTTTCTTTCTCAGGCAAATCAAACACGACCATTAATCACATAATAGGACGTTGTGTGTGAATTCAGATCGGCGCGCGTGTGCGTCTCTAAATTCAACGAATTCGGGTTTAGGCTTTCATTCGAGAAAGAGGGAGAAAGAGAGTGAGAGGGAGAGAGAGAGAGAGAGAGAGACATGTGGGTAGAAATCTATCTCGTGCGGTCATACTATACAAGTCCAGGGAATGGGAGAACAAACGAAGGACTTTACAGTCAGGTTCAGGACTCGCTTCAAGACCGAAAGCGTGCGGCGGAGTCCGGCTAGTTATCTCTCGTCAATTCGCACTCCATTTCAGTAACAGCGAGCGAATGGGAGTGAAAAATAAATAAAATTTAATGAAATATTTTATTCTTAATAATCAAACACGCTAGTAAAATGGAAAATAATAAATGCAAATTAACGAGTAAATTTTTTCAAAGCTCGATCCATTCATTCGCCATTATTAATCAAGTGGAGTAATTGAATATTAGAACAATTTTCTCACTAATTAGCAATTATTATTAAATTACTAAAAATGGTTGAATTTACAATAGTCGTTTGGCCGCCTTGTAAAATTGTAATTATTACTGCTGTCATCGGAATTATCACATGCAACACATTTTTCTATGATTTTACGAATCGTGAAGTGTATTCAGTGTTAGATAACAATTTTTAATAAATTTTATATTAATTACTAACTTCTTCGCAATTGGCCAACAATTCAATTGCTCCACTTGGCGTAAAAGTTATTTAAAAAAATTGCGATTCTATTTAAAGTATTGCGTTTCGAGAGAGATCCGAGAAAGGACAAAAGAGGGAAATTAAATGTCGAGCTTGAAGGGAATTGAGGGTGCTTTAGAACAACATGTTCGCGTGCAGGGTTCCTAGACGCCGAGAAGGCGCAATCTTCCGGCACCCTGGTTCTCTAAGTCATTTCAAGCGGACGGGTTGAAGTGCAACGCGGCTGCTTCACCCGGCTACCAGTTAAAACATGGTATTAGCAAGGCAAAGGCAAGAGTCGAACGCACGTCATGTTGGTGTGTGTGTTGTGAAGATCACATTGATCGAAAACGTGTTCTCTGAGCACGTTTCGAATATGTCTACTTTGAAAACGAGGACACAGCGGCAGCCATGCATTGATCGAATGAGGGATTAGATGGAAATAAACGTTGGAATAAGAGAAATAAATGTGAAAATTCATTAAAACAATTAACGACATTAAGCAAAATAGTAGAATTTAAAAAATTTAATTATTCTCTTTCATTTTGATGAAATATTAAGATAAGAATGAAAAATGTCTACGTTATAAAAATTGCACGCGATGTGCAAAATTCATCAAAGCTATTAATTTTGGTGCATTAAAGGCTCTAATATTTTCTTTGAATATTTATATATTGAATATATTTAATATTTATATATTTAATTATAATTGAAATTATAATTAATCTGTTTTATGGTAAACATAATTCGAATTTTTGCAAAATTTGTTCAATATTTGAAAGATCAAAAAATATCAATAATGTTACAAAATTAATTCATCTAAAATGTACTGAAATATAAATCAAGATAAACGCGCAGGGAGGGTAAACTAAATATATAATATATTAATTATTATTAAAAAAAGTGGTATTAATCGTCGAATATCGACTTTTAAAAAATAAAATATAAAAGTGAGAGTAAAATAGATAATACGTCGCTACGGAGAAAGTTTACGGGGGACGTTCAGGAAACATGGGACAAAAAATTCGACATAGCTGTGTACACGTATTGATAAAATACAAGGGTGATACAGTTATACAGAGAAAACGATCAGAAAAGGTCAGCAGGCAAGAACAACAATGTCCTCGTAGGTATATAACGTGATATATAGATATGGTACAGTCATTCGGTATTACGTACGCTGTTATTCTTTGGTCGCGACATATTCTCGCGTTTTACGATCTCGCGTATCTTCATCACGCTAATAAGAGACAAGACTGTTTGTCGATTGGTTAAAATTGCCGATAGTTCTAACGCCAAAAGAACGCGTAGATATTGAAGAAACTGGGGAAGACAAGTACCGCAGGACGTAAAGATAACATGAGCGATATATCGCAGCTCCTAAATTTACACAAGTGACAAATTTTTATTTTATTTTGGAATCGAAGTGTTTTGATATAAAAGGAAAAAAAAATCTTTTTCATTAATTTCGAGTTTCGCAAATATAAAGAACATTATTTTGTGATGTATTCATTTTGAAGCAAAATAATTTGCACTTATGTACTTTTTTAGAGCTGTGATATAAATAATCGAAAATAAAGATGGCCTCAAAATTTGCAAACATTTGTTTGAACCCGATTTCGTTTCGATTCAAAGAAACGTTCGTAAATCTTGATGCACTCGAAATCTTTTACTTTCAACTGTTCGTATAGAAAGGACGCGTATTTCAAAACTCTTTCTTCTCTCATTAATCGCGTTTTCTATATTGGAGCGGATCGAGGAAAAAAATTCGTAATCTGATTAGTGAATCTTTCTAGAGAAATTGGAGTGCAGGGGAGAGATCGTGACACTTACCTTCATCATAAGCAGTAATGTGTTTAATACGATGAGTATCATGATAAAATATTCGAATGGCGTGGATACGACTATCCTCCAGATTTTGTACTTTACGCTATTTCGCTCCTTCGGCATGTACCTCTCGAGCGGACGAGCTTGTATTGTAAAGTCTATACAAGATTTCTGAAAGATTAACATCGAGTTATTAACGCACGTACTGATATTGATAAACATAATTCTCATGCAATTGCATTGCCCAAATTGCGGTTAACAAAAAGAATAAAATAAAAAAAAGAATAGAAAGAAATTTACATATTTCATAAAGTATCCATAACTTTTTAAATTAGGAATAATATTTTTAATATAAAGTAATCATTATTTTTTATATCAATAACAATTTATCATATATTTTTGCGGCGGTTAGAATTTTAATGTCCAATAGAATGATATTTTATTTCTATAAATTTACCTAATCTTCCGCGGTTTGCCAATGAGACGTGGAACATACGTAAAACTAATTCAGCGTAAGTGAAAAAGAAAATAATTGACGGAAGTGACATCACCTGATTCTTATCGATTTCACCGTCCTGCAGTTCAGCTTCTCCCTGTTCCTGGAATGTGATAATGATCAAGGCCACGAAGATGTTGACGAAGAAGAATGGGAATACAATGAAGTACACGATGTAGAAAATGGACATCTCGATGCGAAAGTTTTGAATAGGGCCTCGATTTTCGTACGTGGCCGCCATCGAGTTTTGCAGGATCTGCGGCCAACCCTCGCCGGTCTGGACGGCGAACAGCGTCAGCATGGCCACCATCACGTTGTCGTAATGAAAGGACTGGAGTTGCCAGGTCCGGTTCTTGAGCTCCGGCAGCATGTTTCCTTCCTCGAAAACGAAGTATTGACCACTGTCGCGAAAATAAGATTAGTTTGCATCCGCTTTTATTTGCACCATTCGAAAAACACACAAAATTTACTTGTTTATTCGATGTCTTAGCTACGATTAAGCGCTCTAATATATTTATTCATACTTCTCGAAATATGTTTTTCACGACGAGAGAGAGAGAGAGAGAACCGTGGCGTACTTACTTGCAATCCTCCTTGGTATACTTGCTCTCGTCGGAGCAATAGAAGAACTTGCCGTTGAACAGCTGCACCGCGATCACAGCGAATATGAATTGGAACAATATGTATACTATAAGAATGTTAATGACGTTCTTGAGACTGTTCACCACGCAGTCGAACACCGCTTTGAGCTTCGGCACGCGCTTTATCGTCTTAAGTGGCCTGAGCACCCGCAGCACTCGCAGCGACTTGATAGTCGAGAGGTTCTGGCCGGCCGGGCTGCCGATCATGTCGAAGGTGAACGACACCATGGCGCATATCACTACGACCGCGTCCATAATGTTCCAAAACTCGCGCAGATATGAGCCCGGGTGCAGTATGACGCCGAGATCGATTATCTTTAGCACCATCTCGATGGTGAAGACGCCGGTGAACGCGTAGTCGAAATAATTGAGGATCGTGTTTCTCGGCGCGTCTTCCCAGACAGGATCCTCGGCAGCCAGCGCGATACTCGATAGCGATATCACCACCATTATGAAGAAGTCGAAGTACCGAAGGTTCACGACCCAATGGGCGGCTCTTCTTATGCTGCAAACGAAAGATCTCGTTATTTCCGATCGTCGAGAGCAACGATTTTAAATAGAAATTAATATTGTCTGCCAATCAACTGTCCGTGAAATAAATATTAAAATGCCGATATCAGTGAAAAGTCTTTTAGATTCTTATTACATTTCTCAGTTTGTGAAAATTACACAATTTGGCACAAAATATTTTTGGTCAGATCGAACTTACGGATTCGTAGGGGACAGTATAAACATGGAGGAGTATGGCAGCATTGGTTTTGGTCCCGTTTCGTCGTCTTCATCCTGCCTCCTCTCTTCGGACGTCTGGGTTTCACCTCTTCCGTCTCTGCTGAAAAGGATGACACGACGTTCTTCACTTTTTCCCTCTCCATCGGTCTTGCACTTTCTAATTTATGTATGTTATCAATCTCATTAAATAATTCTAAATTATCACTCCATCCGTCTTAACCATAAGAGTGCACAGCTAGGATTTAAATAAATTTATAAAATTATGAGCAATATTCCTGTGAAACTTCTAATAAGATTACATAAGAAGTTCAACGGCTTTGTGCAAATTTTCAGTGTTTTTTGCAAATTTTACCTATAAATTGCTAAGAATTTCTTTCTATTATTTAAATATGCAAGAATATTATTTTGATTTCAAGTCGAAAATATTTTTTACAACGCACTTATTTTGCACAATATATAATTTGCTAGAAATATAGCAAAGAGACGAGATAAGTAGAATGAAAAGGAAGGAAACTTACAAATTTTGTGTTGGACTTGGAGGGCAGATTTCTACCTTCGGTGCGCCACCGTCCCCTGGCTTTTGTAACGACTCGATCTCCTTCTCGAGCTCCTGCAACTGTTTCTCCTTATCCTCCTCCTTCTGTTCCTCCTCGGCGGCACTTAGCTCTTGCGCGTTCGCGAGATTGTCGACGGCGATAGCCAAGAAGACGTTCAGCAGAGTGTAGTTACCGAAGAGCACCAGCACGATAAAGTAGAGCGAGTGAGCCATACCCTGCGACTCGATACCCTGGTACATCACTTCGTTCCAATCTTCTCCAGTCAGGATCTGCCATCAACGTCATTGTGTCAGTGTTAATATTAAAACAAAAATATTGTCTTTTCATCAATTCTTTGCTCTCAAACAGAATATTAAAGTACGAATTGCATATCATCGGCTACTTTTGAAGACTAACGAGACTATGAAACTACACTTTATTCTCGCTAACTCTTCGTGGACAAAAAAACAATTAAACTACGTGATAAAAGATAATTTGTCAAACAAAATTTTGATAATTGTTTCATGATATGACAAATAAAAGATTGAATATTCATTAATTTCGTTTAATTTTACGTCTTTAAAGTCTACAAACTGAAACATTAGAGTCTCGATATTAAGCTGTTACTTACTTGGAAGACAGTGAGTAGTGCGATGGGAAAGGTGTTGAAGTTGGTGGGCGGCGTGCCTTCTTTGAAATTGAACTGGCCGCCGAACAGCTGCATACCGAGCAGCGCGAATATAAGAATGAAGAGGAAGAGCAGGAAGAGGAGAGAAATGATGCTGCGCATCGAGCTCAGCAGCGATATCACGAGGTTCCTCAGGCTCTTCCAGTATTTGGTGACCTTAAAAATTCTCAGGAGTCTAAGGGCACGTAGGACGGAGAGGCCGAAAGAGCCGGACTTCAACGCGGACCAGATCACCTCGAAGATCGAGCCCGAGATGACGATGCAGTCGAAGCGGTTGAAGCTCGATTCGAAGTATGTGCGAGGACCGAGCGCATACATTTTTATGAACATTTCCATCATGAAGAGGCCTAGGAATACATATTCTGCGTAGTCTGCGAACAAAAAAAGGATCAATGTCCAAATAGTTCCATGTTTTTAGTTTGAATTTTTTTTTCATACAACAAATTTGTCGAATTTTCGCTATATAAATCGTTAAATAAAATGCGGAATCGAAGTTCCGCGAAACTCACAGAGGAAATCGTCGAGCCACTTCGGTTGATCGTAATGCTCGACGGCCACGCAGACGGTGTTGAAGAACACAAGGACGATGACGAACCAGTAGAACTGTTGCGACTTGACGGAATTGCGTATCCAGAACCTAAACCTCTTCTCGGCCCGCCAAAACTGCAGGCACGTGCCCTGCTTTTTCACCTTCGACTTGAAGTAGGAGGCTCTCGAGAACCCTATAAAATAGAAGCAATACAATCAGCATAAAATATAATCAGCATAGCCGGAATACTTCTTACGGGCGCGAACCAGTCGATTAATTGCGGAAGATCGTACATTTATTTGAGAATACGAGAGAGAATTTGTTTTCATGTAAATAAATCATATAATATTTTTGTTTGATCCGAAAATCTCCACTATAGCTACATTTTTATTTTTTGTTCTACTTGCTAAGCTATTTGTGCCATTAAAAAATCGAAAATTTAGACTACTTGTATAAGTTGATACAAAATTTTCTCAATTTTGGGAGTTTTTTTGGGAGGAAAAAATGAATATATTACTTTAAAAAGAAAGAAAATTCTAGGATTTTTAATATAATTAATTCTTTTACATATCGACTGGAAGAGACAGAAATTAATTTTTTTTTCTATGTTCAACAAAGAATAGATATAGATACAAAATTCTATACTAAGTTACTCTCTACCAAGCGATACTATATATGGACTATATATGTGGCGATGCGTTTATGTATTATATACTACTTCACTATGTATGACATCGACTGGCTGGTATCAGCCTATCTATCAAGTTCTATGGGACAGGATTCGTAGTACACTACTCAAGGGACTCAATTCCGTCGCTTGCCAATACTAAGTACTCTACTTTTCTGTCAGCTCGCGTTTAACTAGCTAAAATTATAGTCGTGAAAATCAATAAAAATATTAATCAGTGTTGCATCATCACACGGTATACCTAATGTAATGTAGAAATACTTCTGCCGGAAGCATTCGCACTTAATCATGAAGTCGTCATTCTCAATCAATTGATAACAGAATTTAATTCACGAAAAAAGAGAAAACAAAATTATTACACGTTATAATTATTATTTTCTAAGAAAAGACTTAAATTAACAGACCGAATTTTTATCTCGTTAAAATATTGTACTTAAAATCTGATATTATAAGATTGATAATTCCAATTTAATTTGTCTAATTATATATATTATAATTCTCTTTCCAAGAAAATGATTCACAGCGAGTCTTACGAATCCTGTGTATTTTTTCATGATCGTGCGAATGTTCCCGACTCCAACAAAAATATAATATTCATATATCGTCAGCCAATAGAAGCACCTAGAAAACAAAAGTAAGTTAGCTTTTGAGTTTTCTGATCATGTCTCTCGCGCAATGTCCGCGTGATCTCGAGTGATACACATAAGCCACAAAATTAGCAGCAAATCGGTGAATTAATTACATAGAATGCAATATTCACATCCTCTACCACGAGTAACCACAGCCTGCGACTTTACGACAAATAACACGTAATCTAGCTACGTGATTATTAGATTTCGTCTGGATGTGTGAAGTGCTTCGCCATATAATCTTACGCGTATCCCACGATATTGTATTAAAATATACAACAATTTTACTATAAACAAACTCTTCAACTTGAAATAGTAATATTTTCATACCAGAATTATTCAGTTATTTAATTAATTTTCAAGTCGCTATATTTTGCAGAAGCTTATAATCGTCGAGCATTCAAAGATTTTGAACAGCATATATTCCCGAAAAATATCTTCTTCTTTACAAAAAAAAGAATGATCAATGAAGTGATTTCGATTTATTTCATTATTACTACGTTTTACTGCGGGAAAGTTAATTATTACACGTCCTGATGCGGCAGAGTGCGTGACTATATTTGTGTATTCGAGAGTGGGCACGAAATAATTGATTTACCAAGCGATAGCCCGCATCTATTAAATGTGATACGCACGATATTACTTGTACATGTGTGTATTACACCAACCAAAAATCTTTCAAATAAAAATACAAAAATAAAACAATTACGAATAAGATTACGAATACAGCCTTGTTTTACGTTGCTCTTTGCAAAAAGTCGTGGCATTCACGGTTGTAGTTACCTTTGAGCTTTTTCTTAGGCACTGAAACAAGAGGAGCATCTGATAGCGTGTGTTTAGAATGTTCATCGGCAAGAATTGAGGGAAGGGAATTTTCGGCATCGTTTTTTTTCTTTTTTTTTCTTTTTTTTCTTTTTTTTCTTTTCTTTTCTTCTCGATACGAAAGAGAAATCAGGCATGAATCCACAACGATATGTCGATGAACGTGAAAATACGCTAACGTGCCAATAAATAGAGAAATTTTAGAACGAGAGAAAAGGCGGGCCAAAATCTTGCGTCAACGATCTTCTTCGTAACGTATAAATAATAGAAAAAACGTGACATAAAATTTTTATATTCCCTCAACACACTTTAATTCTTACTACGATTTAATGTCTATTTCATATTTCACAAAAATTTAACATTGATTATACTTTAATAATTTACATTCTTATAAATTCACGAAAATTTCGAAGATTCGAAGTAATTTAGAAGAAAATCGTTGGCTGACATAACACAGGTTCTGACTACTTAAAAATCATGAAATCCCTTACTACTTGAACTTGGTCTCGATTTCACAACGAGTTCGTTTAAACACTCTGAAGAGGAGTAATCAACTCGTATGTATAAAAGAAGTGAACAAGAAGAAGAGAATACTCGGCACAGTGGACAACCGAGTGGGCGAAATACAACTCACCATCGTCCCCGTCGTCCTCGCCTTCCTCCTCCTCCGTGTCGGTGCTCTTGCTCTTGCCGAGATTTTTCAGCTTCTTTTTCTTCGCCGCTGCTCTTCTTCTTACTGCACAAACATGCGGAGTAAAGATTAGACGTATAGATTACAAGTTGTGCGAATTTTTTTATATAAATGTGGCGACGCCTAATTAACTCCTCGGTGCCAATATTATTGAAAATATGATTCGCGTCCGGTTGGGATTTATTTTAAAATTTAATAACGTGCATGTAACTCATCACTATTACATTACTTATATTTCTTCAATAATTAAAAAAAAAAGTCGCGCATAAAAGTAGAGCGAAAATATATGAACTTCGACTAGCAAAAATATCACGGGTTATCTTATGAAATACCATCCTTTGAAATACATCATTTTTACGTATTATATTTGACGATATGATGTGACGTGAATGTATCGTCAGAGAGAAAAAGTGGCTCGTTACATATAAAAGGTAAGAATCAAACTGATATTCACGAGTCATCGATTCGACGAAGGGATTAATTAAAATTACGAAAGACGAAGACGCTTTCTTTGCGAATGCGGCAGCTAAGTTTTTTTCCTCGCTAAGAAAGAGCCGAAATCCATTTGACTGCGTCAAAGAAGTGGGAGCGAAAGTGCACGGGGCGCTCGGAACACCCTATATAAATATGCACGAGAACATTTCAGAGATCTCGCTCGTCTCACAAATCTTTTCAACTTTATGGAAGTGAATATTCATGACGTCGGGATGACGTTGCGTTATATGGACCTTCTAATATGTGCATTTTCTCCTCTTCCGTGGTCCTCTCTTCCGCGAGTATCACCTCCTCTGAAAGGTAAATATTATATCAGCAATAATCAATATTACAAATGCATTCGTATATTTTTAATACACGAGAAAGCAACTAACGATCTAGCTTACGCAACAAGCTGTAACTTTTGCACAAGCGCGAAACAAATAAATTAAAGCAGATCGATAGGAATTCGTGTTTATAAAATTTAATATTTTTTATTTTTGTGTGGTCAGATCGGGAAATGCGGAATATATTAATTGCAGAGTCCTATTTTTCATTTATCTGGTAGTAGCTTTTTTTTTTTTTCGTTTGCGGCCTACTTTTTTTTTACGGCTGTGCATTTTCGCTCTTTGATGAGTCTAGAGTTGGAAAAGCGCAGAGTGTTTCGCATCTCTCGCGAAACGCATTCCTATCGATCGTTTTTAATTCGTAGATTTTTTTTACGACGATTTATCTAACCTGCTTTGCAGATCCAATTGAGGTAACAATTCAGCTCGCGCTCAAGCTGCTGCTGTCTTCGCAACTTCAGGAAGGACTGTCGGTTCTCCACCTTCTCTCTCTCCTTCGCAAATTCTCTACAAGCGTGATACAGGTGACATAGAAGCTTACTCGTCGGGCGCACATTTATAAGGGCTAAGTTTAGCGGAGAACTTTCTGGCGGCACCGTTAAACATTCTAGCGACTGGCGTGCTTAATAAGACTGTATTTATGTATTTATGTGTTTAAGGAGAATATATGTAGCATTAGGAGCGTTTCTCAAAAATTTTACTTGTTTCATGAGTTTTCTCAATCTAACTCTTACAATTAGTGGGAGCAAAATGTACCATACGCAGGATTATGTAATACTTTCTTTTGATTGCACATTAAAAAATCTAGCGTGTTTATTAAATAAACAGTAATTTGCATCGTATTCTTGTCGCATGTTTAACAATATGATTATATGATTATATAATTTTAAATTTTATTTTTCATGTATAGTGTTGATCGTTAAATATAATATACATTTAATCAGAATAAATTACCAAAATTCCCAAATTAGGGAATATATTAATTTTTTATAATAGAAACAGTTGATATCTCAATAAAATTATTAATAAAACAGCGACAAATTTTAGAATAATTAGTTCAATTTGCTTTAAATTTTTTTACATTCAATAAACTGATGACTATTTGAGCGATTTCATATTTTTGTCACAAATAATGCTAAACACGCTGAAAGAATACTCATTGCACGCTAATGTTAGGCAATGTCTGTTAATCGAAGACCTGCTTGAGTGATCCACTTTAAGTAGGAACTGAATGCGGTGGTGAAGAGTCGCTTGCTCTTCGCTTTCCGATAAGCCGCCCGCCGTTCGACGCGCGTTCTTTCGTTCGAAAACTCCCTGACGAGGAAAGAAAGTAATTCTGAAGTAATAGACTTCGCGATCTTCGCGGACTGGAGGCGTGTGATCGCCGTTCCGGGATTTACGCTCGGCGCGGACGCGGGAATGCCGCGTGAAATATTTAGAGGTAGATGTACTCACCCGCTCAAGACACCAAGAACTAAGTTCAGCATGAAGAATGATCCGAGGACGATCAATGGTATAAAGTAAATCCAGTTGTACGTGCTGCCAAGAGCGTCGTTTGTCTGCAAATTCGACCAGAATCGATATGAAGAGCGGTAAAGTCGCGCGCGCACACATATGCACCGGTTACACAGCCGAAGGTATATTAATTAACGGCAAAAAGGGCGTTATACGACATAGATGCACTGGACTGTACTCCCACCGCACCGAATAAAACGTGATAAATGCGGTCGGCCAAGTGCGAGAGCTCGAATTTATTTATCGTTATTCGATAATGTTCGACTCCTCCTCACAAAGACAAATTTTTGTCCGATACGAGGAGAAAATTTGATCTAAAAGCGAATCGAACGTCTGCCGCGACCGCATTCACACAAAACAATATCAGGCTTTATGCAATTCCGGTATTGCTAAGGTGATCCGAGGGGGAAACGAATGGAGCCGAAGAAATATGCCATTTTCCGAACTCGCCTGACACACTACTCGCTACATCAGTCTACTCGCTACTCGCTATCTCTCGGATGTTCGAAACTACGAATTATTCAATATCCCATAATTCGAAAACTATACTAGATATGTGATATTTCACTAGATAAATTTTTGGAAAACTTTTAATTCATTTCGAAGTGTGGCATTTTCTCCCCCAACTGACGCTTCACCCTGGATCACCCGATCACAAAGATGAGACAATTAAAGATTTTTTTGAGATATCAATAAACAATTAACGGTTAGTGATTTTGTAACAACCGGTGGAGCATTGTCGGAGGGCTTCAAAATAAGCTATTTTTAATGGCGAAATCTTTCAAAAACCTCCACTGTAATCCACTGGTCGAATATTAACCCTTTCGGAACAGATAAGCTTTATTGAGTTTTTTTTTTTTTTTTTTTTTCATAAGTTGCACATTCAACACACATATTTTAAAAGATCAAAGATATTTACAAAATTTATTCTAAAATATTTGATTTTAAAAATTAGAAGGATTTATTGCGGTCGCGAAAGGGTTAAGCACAATTAAAGGTACAATTAACATCGATATTGGAACATCGAAAAAGAGGGCTGAAACTGACAATGTTATACTGAGCAAGGTGAACATATACGTCAGTGTTAGCTGTTTCTGTTAAGGCATGGCTGAATCCGGTGAATTCGGCTGAGGGCGGACGCAGGAAGGAGACAAACATACAAATGTACAACAATTGAAATCGAAATTGGTCAACAATTAATTGCGAAAGGACACATTTAAAAGCAGAAAGAAGAGAGTACACTATCGAGTTTTCGGTGACCATGATATTTTTTCTCTTCTAGAAGGGTAAAAATTCACGAGAAAAGGAAATTAATTCAATATAAAAGTGCTCTCAAATCGCGACGTGTTAACAATTGATAGAGAATTGATGAAATTGGATAACAACATTCTACGGAACACAGAAATTGAAAAATTTTCGTCTATATCGGTTTTTTTTTTTCGTATTGCGTAGGGTAAATCGTGCGCGAGAGAACGGGAGGGCGAAATTTGAGCAGAGAGAAAGAGAAGAGAACGAGCGAGAAAGAGAAAGAGGCAAGAGGGTGATAGAAAAGAAAGACAACGAGAAAGAAAGAACTTTTAACACTGAAGAACATATTTCTTGCTTTACCCAGTACAATATGGCAGTCCAGCCCTCCATAGTGATACACTGGAAGACAGTGAGCATGGCGAATCCGATGTTGTCGAAGCTGGTGATGCCCGAGTTTGGTCCCTCCCAGTGATCCATGCACGTCGAGACGTTCTGGTCGCACACGTGGGCCCCGAGGGGGGCCTCACTTTCGATGTCCGTGTTGCACGGGCTCGGCTGCTCGCCCTCCTTTATGATTATATCTGCAACGTTCAAAACAAACCGTAAAGCATCTCACGTACATTGACATCGGTAGCGTTCCAAAAGGCCCTCCAAAAAAATCGAAGAAAAAAATTACGTACTTTTTTCAAAGAATAAATAATCGAATATATTTTTGCGAATTTCCCTTTTCATTTTACGTGATAAACAAAAAGCGAATGCAGAAGATAAGGATGTTATTATAAGAATGAACGTTAGACATTCGAAAGTTTCGGAGAAGCTGTCGGAGTTTATGAGCACTCACTGATGTCCATTATACTGTAGCACGTTTTATGCAGAGTTCCCGAATAAAACTCGAGGCCGATGATGGCGAATATCACGATGGCGAAGAGTACCAGCAAGCCGATCTGCAGGAGCGGCGCCATCGCCTTGATGATAGATTTGAGCACCACCTGAAGACCTATCCGCAAAAAATCGCCGAAGAGTAATTAGGCCGAACCATTGTTCCCGTGAGGTCATGTGAAATTCTACGCTCCGGATCATTTCCGCTTCTCTAATCGTGCATTATTGCCCGTTGCTCGAGAAACCACACGCGAAATTTTACGTTATTTTACGTTATTTTACATCGATATTCATCGTTAGCAATAAAATTTATCTCCAATAGATAAACATCCGTCTGATTTTAAAATAATAAAATGGATAATAAATAAAATACTAAAAATCTGTATTTTACAGATTCTTTACTTCAGAATTCTGAATATTATCAAAAATATTCCAAATTTTGATATTATTGAAAATTTTATTTTTCACGGAATTGATTCACTAAATTAACTTGCAATTAACTTTACGAAAATATACATTCCAAGTTTTTACGAAATTTGAGCTTCTCGAAATGATCCTGCGTCTAAGAATTAGGACACCTTCGCCGTATCTAAACACAACATCGAGCTCTCAATAATATCTATGTAGGCGATACTACTAACATAATACAAACAATCGATCTAATTCGGCAGAAAGCATCCTACGGGTAGTAAATAAATATAGATCTGCGATTATATATAAACATGACTACTCTGATCTACTGACTTGGCTTCATAATCGTTAATTCAAATCTATGTAGCAACTATTTAAGAAATAAATATCCTTAACAGCGGATCGATCTTCGAGATATCCAAATCTCAGACACGAAGAAGTTTCGAGACAACTTATTCGTAAGCAAAAGTTTCCTCGAGCAACAAGATTGCATTTTCGTCGTGCTCTCAGCGCCAAATGTCACCATTTGATTTTCATCTCACATTCAAAATAGTTTTCGAAATAATGTTCTCATTATTTAAGCTCGATCACAGTGCAACAATGGAATACACGAAAAACATGAGACATTTTGCGCTAATGTGCCATAAAATCACGTGTTCGTATTCACACTCCCACATTCGCAATCTCATTTAATTCAAAGACGATCGATTCATACACATTCAAAAATAATTACTTTTTAAATTTTCACTCATCGAATATATTTATTGTTTATTCTGAAAAAATTTCAAGATATACTTTTATCGCTAGAGGCGCATTTGAGGTGTGAATGCGAGCATTTACGTGTATTTACTTCCGAAGATTTCACGGGATTTCGTGACAATCAGGATTTTCCCGGCGACGCGAGATTTCTTTGGATTTTTCTCTCGTGCCGAGCAGCCTCGAGTTTCTAAAACTCGACTGACACTCGGCGCTTTCCAATCTTGATGCGCTACTCACTCGGTATGCCGGAGACAAGTTTGAGCGGTCGCAACACGCGTATCGCACGCAACGTGCGCAGATCCATTTCCTTGCCTTCCGATTGCATGCCTGACGAGAACGCCGTGATGATCCTGCCCCAAAAACACACACACCCCGCCACACTTTACTACTTACTACTCTATTACACTAATACTCACGCTACTCTTAATTACTCTTAGACTACGGCCACTAGGTGGTTAACTAGCGTTTTCTAGCCTAGTCCGAGAGGATAATGCTATCAGGACGGATCGGACTTCTTTTGATGCGACAAAATAAAAGATTAAAGAATTCTGATAAATTAAACTTCAAGAGATTGCAAATAGATAAATAGCTATATTAGAATCTTAGTCTCTATTTATAGTGTTTTTAAATAAATCTTAATTCAATGAAGAATTTAAATCAAAATATATATGTACGTATATTTAATGGCGGACTTCGGAAAAAGAGATTTATTTATTTCAGTTAAAGGGACATTCCTATTTTTAATTTACATATTTTTATCACAGAATTATTTTATACCTAATTTATTCTGAAATAATACTATCAAATATCTCGGTGCATTTATTGATCACACGCTGATATTACAATCCGTAATAAAAATTCTAAGTTGTAAAAATATTTGATTAAATAACAGCATTGCGTATATAATTTTGAATTGCATAAGTAAATTTTTTAAACATATTTTGAAAAAAAATATCTTTCTCTGTTTTATTAAATTGAATACGGAGCTCAAAATGAACGGTCAGGACAGGATAGGGTAATGATCTACTGAAAAGGGCGCCGCGAGGGACTAGGGTCGATGTATAGACATATAAATGTATGTATCTATGTACGTGTAACTCTCTATGCTATGTAAAATACTGTATATCTAGGTCTAGGAGAATGTGTGAAACGCTGGGACGAGCGAAAACGGCTATAATCACGCGTGGCTCTAGTTTCTCGAAGATATCAGTTCGCCGAGCGGTCATCGACCGCCCTTTATCTATTTCTGACTCTTGCCGACAACTGTAGCTCTTTTCAAAAAGATCCCTTCCAATCCAGAAAAGACAGTGAAATGTTAGATTTTTAACCATCCTGCGTTACAATCTTAAATTCTATATTTTATAAATATGATTGTTATTTTAATATATTACAAATATCCTTACCTTAACAAACTTTGAGGAAATTTTAAAAATTAAAGAATGAGTAACATACTTTTTCTTCAAACTTAATACTTTTCTGTAGAATTGAGGAAAGCTAAAAATTTCGCTTTACAAGAAAATATCACATTACATAATTTCATCATAAAACAACAATTAAACAAAACGTGATTCAGCAACTTTCAAGTGCTGGATTCTTCTGCAAACTTTGGAAAATAGAATTAAAAGAGGGACGCCTTTATTAAGGGATAGAAATTACGAAACAAATAAAATCTCTATATCAGTTAAATATTCGAAACTTCAATTACAGCTTTATAAAGACAAAAATCCTTCGTTAGTAAAATGATATCCTTCGCTATAAATGATAATAAGAAACCTTCACTATTAATAGCGCTAATAACGGAGACTATAGATAAGTGAAAAAGCTAACTATTTATAAAAAATTCAATAAGAAACGAAAAGAAGGAGCGAATCCTAACGATGGAAGTCGTCGTCGAAAGGGATGATCATTTTCGAGAATTATGGGCGCTCGTAAAGCAACGATTCCGTCATGAGAATCTAAAAATGCGGTTTTCTAGCAGCAAATAATAGACAGGGCGCGCTGTTGAACACGTTATCTGCTCTAGGACACGTATCCACTTAACAATGTATAGTCGGCTCTATTATTTAGCGACTGCAGCTAAAGATAGATAACCGCTAAATATAGGCACCGCTTTGCGCGGGTCATCACATCTGTGTGCGTGTGTGTGTTTTTCTTATCCTGTCTACCTGTTCGTGAGCATCTTCGGCGTAATTGAAGACGATTGGCCCAAATCGTTCTCGCTATTCCGAAGGAAACACTTTCGGAATACCAACTATCAATTAATAAACAGATATCCTCCTTACAGACGCAATCTAAATTACGTCCTAACAATCAGCGGGAAGTAATTAATTCCAGTTTTAAGCGAAACAACGACTAATAATGCTCCAACTGCTCGCTACGAGTTCACTTTCCTACACATATGGAAACGTCTAAACTGGAAATAGCAAAAGTTACTAATAAATCGCTCTGTCTATGTAACTATGCAACAACCATGTTCATCGTAAATTTAAGTTAACAAAATTTGTCTGATATATACACGTGAAAAAATTAGAATTAGAGAAGTTTCGTAAACAATTTTCTTATATTATCAAAATTTAATATTTTTCAAAAACTCGTTTACCGTTGAATATGATGTGATACTTAGTGTGACAGCGCTTTCTTTAATCAGAATATTCATAGGAGTGTTCGTAGATCTAAACTTATCATAAATCTAATCACTAGTTCACACAATCCTTCTATGAAGAAAGTAGAATATATATTATGTATATCTAGACGAAATACTCAGATAAACAATGTAGACACAGAGAATTTATGTATATATATTATTCAACAAATATCGATCATCAACTGCGCTAGCTTTACTCATCACCAACTCTAACTTTGTTAACGGATCTAAGACACTCATAGCCTCTAAGCGAAGGTTAATAAAAACTGTGATTACGCATTAGAGGACTAACGCAAAAAAACTAGAAGGACGGGAACTAATAATGTATAAATATATATATAGACAAAGTTCAAAGTCGATGCTTTTCTCGCTTGTCGGAAACTAGAATGTCGCACCAGGTTATAACTAAAGCAGCGACAGACCGGCCGAAATTGAAAATTGTCGAGCTAAGTTTCGACACCGGAGACATTATTAAAAGCTATGCTCAAATTGCCGGGGAAACACAAAAAAGTGAAAGGGATCGGTGAGCGAATTCGAAAAGGGGGAGGGACAGAAGGTTCGGTCGTCTGCTGCTCGACTGTTAGCTCGACTGTTAACTGGCGTGACTTCTTTTCGGGACTTTTCGCTGCTGTTCTTTCGCAGAACTCTGTCTGACTCACTTGGAATTTTCGAAACCAGCTTTAGCGGTCTGAGGACCCTGAAGGAACGTAGCATACGCAGGTCGACGTCCACGTTTGTTTCGGCGAACACGGTCATCGACCTAATCCAAGGATCACTCTAAAATCTATCTGACCAACCGGCATGGTGATCGGCGTGTTTCCTTAAGTCCTACGGCTGGAGAAACCAGTTCGCGAACTACGTTGCCAGTGTGTAAAGAAATTTTTTTTTTTAATTACGTGATCGTCTTCAATTGTTAGCTATCGGAATTTCAATATAAAAAAATTATATACGAGAGCAATAAACTGTGAAAAAATTAATTTATAATATAACAATACGTAGAATTGTAAAATGCTTTTTAGCTGAAAATATATTAAAATCTACTTACATGTGAAATGTTACAAGTTTCTAATTATGCCTGCAAGGATTGCGGTATTTTGCCTGGCGATGTTAGCGAAACTGATTCCTCCAATATCTTGTTTCCTCATAAGGATGTAATTAGGGAAAGAGGTTTATTTTGTCGCTCGCTTGGATCGCAAATTAATTAATGTAACGATGTTTGTCTCTCTTAAACGATCAATATTAATAATCTATCCTATTTATGTGGAAGAAATGTAAATGTATATATAGAAAAGTGCAATAGTACGCTGAATTCAAACAAAGAATCGCTTCTCTTCTTTTATAAATTTCTGTAAATATAATAATATTATTTCGTTCGTATAATCTTTAATAAACTGCAAGAGATTTAATAAACTCAAGAAAGCTCTCCTTTTCTAAACGATAGTGAAATGTTAGCAGAATGCTTGAAGAGAGATGCAACGGTATGGAGAGAGATAGAGAAAGAGAGACGCAGAATGGTAGGGGACGATAGGTGAGTATTTAGGCTGAGAAAGATAAAACGTTCGATCCTCACCCGGTCACCACGACGAAGAAGTCCATGATGTTCCAGATGTTGCGCAGGTAGGAGCCGCGATGGAGGACAAAGCCGAGGGCGAGGATCTTGAGGCTCGCCTCGACGCAGAAGATCCCGAGGAAGTAGATCTCCGTGGCCTCGAGCTTCTGTGCGAGTATGGTCTTGTCCCCCTTCGGCAGATGCTCCTCGAGGGCGAGGACCACGCAATTAGCGATGATGGTGAGCAGGACGGCGTATTCGAAGGGCGGCCACTCGATGATGAAGCGCGTGTGCTTCCGTATGCAGTTATCCTCCGACAGGATGAACAGCGACGTGGTGCCCTTGCCGCCCACCCCACCACCACCCGCCCCACCGCCTTGATCCCGGCCTGGCGCCATGTCCTGACCAGGTACCTAAAAAAAAAAAGCGTCGATGTCCCGTTCAGAAATCGAGTCCCCGGAAAGTTATATAAATTGCTCTTTCGATATAAAATTATGCGAGTGTGTCGTGTTATAGAAGTATATTTTATTAAAAGTCAAGAGGAATAAAAAAATATAGATAAATAAATCGAAAGCCAAAACACGCTGATCGCAGAAAAATGAAAGACTTTCATTGAGAACATTGTAAAATTCTACAAATAATAGATTTGAAGTTATAAATAAAATATAGACTCTCGATGCATAAAACTTTTAGGAATAAATCTTTTACTTTGATGGTACATAAAACAAAAATAGTTTACACTAAGTTGAAGTGAATTAATGTAAATCGATCAATTAGCAGTCATCTTCTCTATTATAAATGCAATCCGTTGAATTGTAAAATATGGAATAGGAAAATTTAAAAAAAAATGACGTGTAATATAATATACTTCTACATATTTGATCTATATTTTTCAATTAAAATTCGATCTCATCGCGATAATTCTTACGATTAGATAAAGGACCGTGTTTTTCGTAAATCATATTATTATATTAAAATAAATTAAACATTATATCGTTATATCGAAAACGATATTATTCGCGTTACGATAATATTTTGGAGACTTTTCAAACGTCCAAACAAAATTTCAATTAAACGTTTCATAACGTGACTGATGATTATTCTCCGAGCAATTTCAGACGGCAGAGAGACTGTTTGAAGGAGTTGCATAACTGTCGGGGGATGATTGATTCTCCGATGATTTTGAAGCCATTGCGAGCTGCAAAATCCGGACTAACGACCGGACTAACAACGGTGCTTGATGTCACCGATAATAGAGACAAAAGGCAGCGGTAACAATCAACGATTGTCGTTGTCTTACCTCCCCTCCAAAGCTAGTCCAGTCACCGAGACCACTCCTCAATCCGGCCAACCTCGACCTTCTCCCGTAGTACTGACTCGCGTATCCAGGGTCCCTTTGTGCCGCCTCTTGCGCTGCTGCCAACCTGAAAACGACAGGGGAATGAAAAGGGTTGCTGGCCGATTGCAGTCGGAGGTTATCCGCGTGGCGTACGTCAAATAACGACACCGTACCGTGACTTCTATAAGCGCAATCCGTATCCTATCGATTCTATTTCAAACAATGAAAATCGACCGGCATTTTAGCGGAGAGTACGATCTATAGTATATTAACAAGTCATCGATTACATGATTTATTTATTAATTGATTATTAATTGTCAAGTTGGACATAATTATTAATCATACGTCATCCAATTTAACATCAAGTGACAAACTTACTTCATTTTTTATCATTTTTCTTATTACGACGCTAATTTTATTTTTGTTTTAATCGATCAAAATATGTTTTTATACATTGTATAAAATTCTCTTCGCAGTTTCCTTTCCAAAATGCGCAACGTATTCCAGGAGTCATCAAAAATGCATAGAGTGTGCAGAAAATTTCGACAGAATTATTCACGCCGGCTAGGTTGGACGATGGCTCAGAGGGATTGCATGAAAGAGCTCGTTAATGGCGAACGGAGATGCATAACGCAGCGGCTCCGGCTTCAATTAAGTGCATTAGCCGAGACTTTTGCGACAGACACCCAATACACGTGGTGGCTCCTCTCGCGCGCGATAGAGTGAGAGAGAGAATGAGCGAGCGAGCGAGCGAGTGCAATCAAGGCACACGATAATGCAATAATTCACGACAAGGATCTCCTGCCGTTGCATTCTAGCGTAATGCGCCAACTGCATGGCGCACGCAATAGTGCCGACGACGAAATTGCCGCGCTCGTAAAATCGCGTCCGATTCGAAGAGTGAAGAACTCTCAAGCGAGATATATTATTTCTGTGATAAATTGTTTCTCGCAGAAGCAGTTGACATTAATTGTGACGTAAGAAGCGCCTTGTTCTCTCTCTTTAAGACAGATCAAATTAATATATCAACTGTGATAACGTTTTCTGAATTTTTTAGACAAAAAATTTTAAGTTACTTGACGTTTAATAAGTTAAAAAGCTAATTAATTAAAAGTAAAAAATAATTATTATAATTAATTCGATCAATTTATCCTCTAAATTCTCTAAAGCGGATACATTTCCACTTCGAATTTGTACATTTCTTTTAAGGCCCTGTCAGAAACTGTAGATTTTCGAAGATTTCCAATATTCCAGATATATAATGCTAAAGAAAATTAATTGATAGCTTCTAAATAATTTCTTGAAGAATAAAAAAGCACTCAAATCGATATAATTTTCTAATCAGACATAAGTGACTCAATTTGAACGTTATAAATTCTCTTACATCATTTCTAAAAAAAGCTCAATGCTGAATTTGCACAACGCGGGAAGGAGTCTATTCTCGATCGATCGTCGCTGAATTTGGGATATCCCTCGGAAACCTACGAAGAGTGGTGCTTGAGATCCTTTCGAGAATGTCGATATATACTTTATTTTTCTCTGACAAACTCAGTCGGATAAGATAAAATATCAACGGGAAAGAAAATTTGTTTGTGACAGATTTATATTTGATAATGATAAATCCAAATCATTGTAACAACTCTTGAAAAATCTATCGAATGTGTTTCTTTTACCATTTTTACTTTGGTTTTAAATAAATGAAATAAACATTTAGAAACAAATATCAAGCACTGATGTAAGTTTAAAACTCACAAACTATTATTTTAAAACTCTAATTAAAGAAAGACTGATTTTGTCTCAATGGAAACATATGAAAACATTTTATGACTCCAAAACAGGTTGTATATGATATAAGATAACAGATAAAAATTTTTCACGATTTGTCGCATGGCTGTGATAAGCCACTCAGCAGGACGGAAAATAATTCCAAGGAAAAAAACTTGAACTGAGATTGTCCGATTTTATATACACGGAGAATCGAATAATACGAAGAACGAGCGTGGAGAGCAGTGACTGCCAATTTTATCAGCTACTTCCAGCGCTCCTTTTTCCTGGCTTTACGACCCTTCTATCTCTTATTCTCCGGCCGTTTCTGGCCTGCAATCGACAAAGCGGCGCCAACTGGAATTAGGAGTTCGCAAAAAATAATTATATATAATAACAGTCACGACGCGATCATTAAGCTTGTAGAAAGTAAGTAATCGTTTCAGAAATATTTCTAAATAAAAGAAGCCAAACATCAGAGCAGTTTTTTTTATGATTTATCACTTGTTGCTTAGTAGCTATATATATAAGTCCACTTCCATTAATATACTTAAAAATATTATTAAAATACATACTTATACAAGGTGTTTTATAATGTCCGTGCCAACGCTCGTGTGCGGGTAGAGTGCGGTAAACTGAATAGAAAAGTCCTTTACCGCTTTGCAATTTTCGCAATAATAATTGAGATATTAATTAAAAAGGATTGACGAATAATCACGCGTGGCGCGCGGCTAGATCACGGGCTGTACACTCTAGGCGTGACAGCAACAAGGATCGCACGGCAATGAAAAATAACGCATGGCGAGAGCAGGAGTAATACGTGTTGTAATTTTTCGTTGCCGTGCGATCCTCGTTGCTGTCACGCCTGG